AGGCCAGCATGGCCCTGTTGTCTACGTACAGAACTGGAGGAGAACGAGGCGGCTCTCCTAGGTCAGTCAGCAGGTATGTGAGCCAGCAAAGCTCCTGTGCAGCCATGGCTCCTGCGTAGATCTCAGCCTCACAACTGGAGCCGAGAACAGAAGACGAGCGGGTAGCCCGACACGAAACAGAGCCGGAACCAAGGCTGAAGGTGTAACCCTGTGACGACCGCTGCGTAGCCTGGTCGTCAGCCCAAGAAGCATCTGCGTGCCCAGTGAGGACCACTGGACTCCGCCCTCCAAGCACAAGCCCCATGCCCGACGTACTGCACAAGTAGCGCAAAACCCTCTTCGCTGCAGCCATGTGCTCCGGTCTGTGTCTCCCAGGAGAAACATAGCGTGCGAGAATGCTAAGAGGGTATGCAAGGTCAGGTCGTGTGCAGGTCATCAGGTATATGAGGCAGCCAACAAGCTCTGGGTACGGGCCACTCGACTCTACGGACTCATCCGAAGGCAGAGCTGAGAGCGAGTGGCGAGTAGGCAGAGGAGTGGCCTGAGGCAAGGAGTACGTGAAGCCGAAGCGCTGAAGGACCTGCTGCACCATGTGTGACTGAGTCAGGGTAATGGTGCGGCGTGCTCTGTCCCGGGTGATCTGCAAGCCAAGGTAGCTGCGCAGTTCACCCAGGTCGGTGCACGTGTGTCTCTTCTGCAACTCGGACTTCACGTGGGCGAGTCCAGCAGTGTCAGCTGTGGCAAAGACCAAGTCGTCGACGTACACGAGGATGTAGAACGGCGGCAAAGAAGTGTAGGTGCGCAGAAACAACGACGGGTCGGCAGTAGAGGGAGCAAACCCAAGAGCCGCAAGCGTAGTCCTCAGTGTGTCGTGCCACTCACGGACGGAATATTTGTACGCGAAACATGCAAACGGTAACGCAGTGCGTGCGAGCTAGCTAGTGTTACGCTGGCAGCGAGGCTCGGGCTAGTCCCGAAGCGTAAGCCGACACGGCCGGGCCAGTAGTGCGAGGTTTGGCAAAACAGTGCGCGCGAAGTTGGCGAAGTCCTGTTAGCAGTAACGGGCGAACAACGGCTGTTGCTGTACGCGATGTAGTCGGGCTCTGTAAGGAATGCCGAGAAAATTCCTTACAGAGCGGTACAAATGAATATGCTCTAATAAAGATGGATATACATTTAGGAGCACTAACTTGAAAGTGGGAACCTCGACATGATTTGGGTTCAGGCTAAGTCAAGTTCCAACACAGGTCTGCTGAAAAAAATATTCTATATGTAGGATTATTCCCGGCTGAAATGTAATAAAACCTCATTCGAAGATACCACCTATCTTCTATCTTACCGATGACCAAGTGAAGCCCACACCACACTACATCGTGCAGAGACACATAGGCCACCGGTAGCAGGACATGTTGCTTTGGCAGCGCTATAGTACCGTAAGTAATTCCCTCACAAGGTTGATTGCTGCCTAGTGCTACGAAACCCCTTCATCTGCATTTGCTCTAGAACCTGTGATCCCCGGCGCATGGCTAGAAACACTAGCTGCAATTCCACCTTGGCCTGCTAGTGTTGATCCAAAAAGGCCAGATCCTCCTCCATGCTCCTCACAGGGCGCTGACTCTCCAGCAGCTCATCCACCCTTGCTGCAGCGCTTGCTCTCACATCCCACCCTCCCGCCTCCCCTCTCACCGCCTCCAAGTCTTGGGCCACGCGGGACATGGAGGGGCGGGAGAAAGCGCGCATGGCAGTGCAGCTCACAGCCAGCTGGGCAAGGCGATGGATGATGTCATCTGGTGCTTCCAGGAACGGGTCCCGGAGAAGTGATGTCTTTCCACATGCCATGAGACCCGATGCCTGTGTCAGTGACAGTAGTAATGGCGAGTGCAAGCATTACAATGGCAGGTAGAGGCTAACAGGAAGAACAATAAGGAATTATTCATCGACGGATTTAGTAAGGAGATACTCGGCAATGGATATAGTTAGGAATTATTCAGAGATGGATTAACATAGGTGAAAGCAAGGTACACACCCAAACGGAAATGGAGACTGGTTCCTGGTTGCTCAAGTCACCTATCTCACTGCTCGGACTCTCGTCCACAGTGGCTCCTCTGCCTGACAGCATCACCAGCATCAGAGTGCCAAAACTGAAAGGAAGGAAACCAGGTTGTGCAAAATAAAGGGAGACCGTATGTTGCAGATTCTTGCAAGGGGCAGCTTAGATTTGTCCCACACATGAAACAAGAAGCATGCAAAGTGGGACATACGTGGGTGTACATTCCCCCCTGGTTTACATTTGTATGATGATTTTATTCTGTGTTGTTGAAGGATGGATTTTCTACTAATACTCATTCACTTGCATAAGGGTTCATCAAAGTAATTACATACACACTTGGCAATCGCAACCTTGACATGACATTACTTCTGAAAAATAGCCTTGACATTGTAGGCATATTTTGGTGGAAGAGCATATCAGTCCAATTGTCCTCTGCAAACCAACAAGCTAGGAGATTTAAAAATTATGTTTAAGTCTTCAATGTATATGCGCCCCTTGCACCAACTTTATGTTATTTGGGAACCCCTCTCCTGCTGCTCCTCCCGCTCAAGCATATGAATTTCTTGACGCGCCGCTCCCTCTCAATTGGTCAACCAAATCTAATTACCTTCACTCCCCAAGCTTGTTTTGCGATTTCCTTGCTTATCCGTCAACATATCCTTCTAGAGGTCTTCGCAGCAATCTAGTATGTTGCGCTTCTATCTATAACCCTTGATATGCTTCTCAATTATCAGTCTAGGCTCACTCTATTTTGTTCAGTGAAAAGAAACATGCAGTGTGGTTGGTTGGGTTTCTGCAGATTATGTTGTGAACTGGATATATCAAACCTTGACTGAAACCCTAGCTTTGGGTTCGGTTGGTTCTCCATCCCAGCCTTTATGCCTTGTAGTTTGCCTATGCCAATTAATTCAATCGAGCTGCTGGCATGAGCATTTGGCCTGGCCCGACCCGGCCCGACCCGAATTGGCCGGGCCAAGCGGGTTTTTGGACCGGGTCGGGTCGGGCAAGCCTCAGGCCAGGATGTTGAACACCCTGACCCGACCTCGGGGCGCCCGCGCTCTGCGTAGATCTGGGATTTGGCCTGTCGATCTGCGCAGATCGCGATTTAGTTGGCGAAGCAGTGCAGATCGTCAATTTCGCTAACCGATTTGGAGATTGGGATTTTTGCCTATGATTTACTCACCCTGGCACTTGTTTCCAACAAATATGTTGGACAATTCGACAACCAACATGTCCAACCAATTTGCCACTGCTCACCACTCCTTACCGCAATGATCTACAATTCCCAACTCACCCCCCCTCCCCCCCCTCCCTCCCCTCCCCCCCCCCTCCTACTCTTGTCAAATCTCTCGACATTGAGCCTCTGCACATAGACGGCTATTACTTGCATAGAAACTAGGAATTCTGGGCTGAAGGTTAGAAGTTAGGTTGCGGGGAATGATGTCGAGGGGAAGAATGTCCGCTCGACATCGACTTGGTTGGTTAGGGTTTTCGCATCCCCCTGTGTCCGACCCGATTTCCCAGTTCCTGACCCAAATACGGGTCGGGTCAACACGGGCCAAAAGCCCGGCCCGACCCTGTTAACGGGAGTTGGGTGTTGGCCCCGTCCTCCCGACTTTGTGGTCGGGTGTGCGGGAGTTGCAGCCGACCGTCTGCAGCGGGCGATGCCGACTTGGGCGAGCGGATCGACGGACGTAGTCAACCTGCACGGGGCCACTGCGAAGCCGCCGACGACTGGAGCCGGCGGCCGACTTCAACTGGGAGGTCGACGAAGGGACTTGTCGACCTGGGAGGGGCGCCAACCTTGGGGCGCCGACTTGAGGGTGCCGACCATGGGAGGCCGACTTGGCGAAGTCGGCGGACAGCTTCGACGTGGTCGACGAGGGGTTTCGTCGACCTGCAAGGACACCGACTTGTTGTAGTCGGCGGGAAGTGTCGACCTGCGTGGTCGACGACCAAGTACAGCTGTTGGTTGACTTCGGCTGCTCAAGTCGACGCAGACTTGGTGGTAACCAGGTCGACCGAGTTAAAAGGGCGACGAGGTTCTGCGGAGGTGCGCGATCGTTGCCCAGGAGGTTCTGGCACCGCCAGGCTCATCAGGCGCCGCCATCAGCACGTGGACGACCTGGCACTTGCGCCATGCACATGACGGTGCACGTCGCACCAACCGTCTACAAGAACCTGCAAAGCTGATGCGCGCATGTGCACTGCTTACACCTGCGCATGCAACGCTGGACAGCCGCCTTGCTGCAGCGTTGGCAAGCCGTCGACTTGCTATGTTGGCAAGCCGTCGACTTGCTACCTTGGCAAGTCGCCACTTTGCAGTGTTGGAGTGCGGTCGACTTTGCGGTGCTGGCAGGTCGCCAACTTTGCGGCGCTGGTGGTCGACCTGCCTGTGTGCTAGGCAATTTTGCATTTGATACAGTCAGTGTTGATTTGCCTTTGCTAACCATTGTGTAATTCTCTTACTAGTGAAACTCTTGTCGTTTTTGCCCCGTGAACACGCACTTGCTAGAGAACACAAGGAGAAATACTGTCACACTTACAACCCGTGTCAACCGCGTAGTCCAGCTCCCACCGTTGTAAAGTGAATCTCCGCAAACCCGGCCTGAGTTCCCTACTTGGGTTGGGTTTTAGGCCGGGCCAACCCGCCCGGGGCAGGCTATTGAAACCCCTGACCCGACCCAGGCAAAATCAAGGGTCGTGTCGGGCCGGCCCGACCCTCGCGGGCCTCTTGCTCATGCCTAATCCAGCATTGAGCAATTTTTTCCGTCGCTTCGTTACGTTCTGAAGTTTATAGGTTAGCCATTATTACTTAGTGCTTACATGTTTAGAGTCAGTGGAGGTATTGTCATGCCTGTACATATACACATCAGCATGTCATCTGTACACACCCACATGGCACCTGTACACACGACCATGGCCCTTACACAGGCTATGAGTCGTTTTATCAACCATCATCCCACCCATCCACAACATCATCATACCTGCACACAACAGCATCACACGTGTACACGTCAGCATCACACCTGTACACATCAACATCACACCCTATAAACAATCGCATCACACCTGTACACATCAGCATCACACCTATAAACATCAGCGTCACAACTATATACATCAGCATCACACCTAGACACATCAGCATCACACGTGTACATATCAGCACCACACCTGATCAGGTTCACAGCAGTACACGTCAGCATCAGACCTGTAAACATCAGTGGCGGTGATGGTCTTGTTTGTCCGGGAGTACACAGGGTCCACATACCCCACCGTTCCCAGCACTCGTGTATAGCCCATTGGAGTGCTGTCCCCCTCACGCACCAGTCCAAAGTCAGCCACCTTGGCCTGGAGAGGACAGGCAACAAAAATCAGGAAAGAGGCACTGCGGGGTTCATTCGGTTGCATCATGACTTTTCTTTAGAATTATCAAAGAACATATTCAGGTTGCATCATGTGCGCCGGGACTTGTTGGAATCGACCTTCCAACATCCTGCCGAAGTAATGCCAACAGCACACCAGTGTGAAAGAATGCCGGTATCACGTGAAGTGAAAGAGGTTCAAAAGACTCTCTGCCAGGCCTTGAACAAGATGTTTCGTCAACCCATCACAACCGCACCTGCATGTGAGCATCAATGAGGATGTTGGCTGGCTTGATGTCCCGGTGCACGATGCCAAAGCTGTGGAGATACTCTAACCCACGTGCCACCCCTAGTAAGATGTTCACCCGCTGCAGTAGAGTCAGACTTGTGGGCGCATCTGGAATGGAGAATGGTAGAGGCGAGGCAAGGCGTCATTAGAGATGCTGACCCTTGGATAGAATCGGTCATACCACAATCCCCCGGATAAAGGTCTTCGTTTTCTTACATTGCCCTATAATGTGGAAGAACCCACACTGCCACGATGTATTCAATTGCGAAAATCACCAAGAATTTGGTAGGGGCTTGAAATACAAAAAATACTCTATTGCCCCTTTTGCTCATGTTAAGCCCCGGGCGAAAATAAAGGAACACCCCTATCCGGCGGAATACTCGCATTTGTAATGTAGACAAAGAGAAGCATGTTTAGAAATGCTGAAAGGTTCTATAAACAAATAGTAAATTGTAATGATGGAAACAAGCAAAACATTGAGGTAAAGTAGGTAGAGAGTGAAGAAAAATAGCTTAGAGACGATAAGGGCTGGTCCAGGTGAGGAATTTGGTACCCAAGGGACTTGGGGTGGCCAAATGGTTGCTCAAGTCGCCCACAATCAAGATGGGGACGTGAGGGACCCTCAAAGTGGGCCTGGAAAAGCCCCTTCTGGTGGAACCGCGATTCTACAAATTGGAAACTCGAATTCCAATAACGGAATTCGTGGGTTCAGGCTGGAGTTGCGTTCCCAAAGTTGGGAGACGTGGTGAGGTGCCCAAAGCCAGATTTGGAATGCCTAACACGTTTTAATATCACTTGGGCAGCACCCTATAAGTAACTAATATAACCTAACCCCTGGTGTCTACACTGCTAAAATGTAAACGGATATATAAAATTAATAAAGAAACTATTGAAATAAACCTCGAACGTACCTGAAGGATAACGAGTACCCAATAACATAATTTATCGCGTGGGACTAGGGACAAGCACAGGGCGAGGGACTAGACAAGCTTGGTTGGATCAATAGCCTTCTCAACTGTACCTTGCCCAATCCATTGCTGGAGGTCGCCATTGGCAACGAACTCATAAATGAGGACATTTTCCACCCGCGTGTTCACATCACCACCCACTGCAAACCCCAGCAGCCGCACCAGATTGGGGTGGTGCTTCGTGGCCATTTGAGCCACCTGTGGGCAGGCAAAGGAAGGAAGGGGAGGAGGGGGGAGGGAGGAGGAGGAGGAGGAGGAGGAGGAGGAGGAGGAAAAGAGAGGGTTTGGTCATCCTTCCAGAATGGCTCTGATTTAATCAGAATCGACATTCTTATGGACCCATAGAGTCGAATAGTTCTCTATGTAAAGCTTATGACATATCATTCGATCCTTGATGGCCACTGCCAAAACTCCACCCCACCCTGCAGCTTCGACCCAGCCCCAGCCCATCCCATCCCTCCCATCTCGCCCACCTCTCTGTGGAAGTCAGCGGTGATGACTTTGGCGCGCTTCACGGCCCACAGCGTGGTGCCATCCTCGGGGCACACCCCGCGGTACACGTCTCCATACGCGCCGGACCCAAGCAGGCACTCCTTGGACCAGTTGTTGGTTGAACGAGCCACCACAGCCAGCGAGTACTGCCGGCACGGCGTGGGTGCGTTCTGCAAGCCAGAGAGTGCGGCTGCATTGACGATGGTGAGTTTGGGTGAGGTGGGGGTGGGAGAAGGGGTGGAGGGAGAGCAAGGAAAAGGCGAATTTTGAGTCGACTCAAAAGGGGTGGACGGAGAGCAAGGAAAAGGCGTGGCGTTGAGTTGGACGAAACGATTGGATGAACGAGTATCACCAGAAGCACAAAGTAGAGACTATAAGGTTGATGTAACCGTGTTTTTTTGCCTTCAGGACGAAAAGGGGATGGTGCTTGTACTCGCCGTCATTTAGTGGAAACTGGTGGCATGGCATGGCATGGCATGGCATGCAAGGAAGGATGATACCTCTGTTGGAGGCTCTGGTGTGTGCGGCAAACCACCAAGCAGAGGCGAGCACGAGCAGCAGCATCAGGACGGTTGCTGCCACAATGGCGATGATAGCTCCCACGGACAGGCCGGAGGGGGAGGAGGCGTCAGGGGGGGAGGGCGACGAGGGGGGCGAGGAGGATGGGGTTGGAGGGCTGCTGAGTCTAGTGGGTGGTAGGGGCGGCGGCGATGGAGGAGGAGAAGCCACGGTTCTTGGTGGGGGAGCTGAATAGGGCGGCACACATGCATGCACATGCACATACACGCAGAAAGGACAGATTCAGGCCTTTCGTGCAATGTGCACGATGCAAGTATCCATGCAGGCCCTAAGCTTGCATAAATACACACATATGGTATGAAATAACTAGCAAAGATTGGCTTTGATTGGCAAGGACTAGTACTCTGAGTGTAACAACCTCACCTGTGTGAGTTGTACACGTCGTACAGAAGCTCTTGCACTGCCGGCAGAAGGCACTTGCATTGGACTGGCGAACCACACAGCTGCCAGCATCTGGGGGACATGTAAAACCCGACATTGATATGTTGCTGCTTGAGGGGGCAGGTGGGGGAGGATGGAGGGAGTGGAATCACGGAGACAGAAGATTGCGAAGAGAAAATGAAACGAAAAAAATGAGGGAAACAGTTACAAGGGCACGGGGAAGGAGGGTGTGATGGCCACATTCCGTGGAGGCAGAGAGAGGGCAGCGGGGTGAATGTGAATGACACACGTTGGTGCACAGGGCAAAGTTGGCTAGAGGGAACGACTGGCAACAACACAACCACAATAAAGGGTAAGTGAAGTACAAGGGAACAACACATGGTACAAAGAGCAAACCACAGATGGGCAGTGCTTACAGATAGGTGAGAGCTCTCAAGCTGGCAAGAGAAGCAGGTATGTGCCCCGTGAACTGGTTCTCACCGAAGCTCCTGCCATGCAATGAATGTGCAGTCGGGATAGAACACCAGGAACCAGTTTGGGTCGAATCAGAGCCATTGTGAAAGGATAGCCAAACCCACTGTTTTCCTCCTCTATCTGCTTGCCTTGGCTGCAGTAAATATTCCAATTACCAAGATCAGCAAGTAGCAGCCCTAATTATATCTATGAATTCGTAAAAAAAATAGCGGATTTTATGTTGATTGAAACATTAATCTATGGTTCCACTCATCACTACCCAATAGCTTGACTCTGTCCCAGGCCTTCGGAGCTCCACTACCTCCTGCACTGCACCTGTTCTGTTGCTGTAGGGAGGATACTGCCTGCCACCTACTGTCATCGCCCAGGTAGTAGACAGATATGTTTTTATCTCATACTGCTAAAAAAACTGGCAGTTTATCTTGTAAACGGAAACGATTGTATCCCTTGCACAAAGGGCACAAGTGTATTTGACACACATGCAATACATGAACACTCACAGCTCATTGATTTTGGACATCCCTAAGACCCAAGCTGGAAAGGATCCCCTTAGTCTGTTGTTGTTAAGACGCCTGAGGTGTAAATAGAGTTCACCAGATCGAACATTCAACACGACATCGCCTTATTTGTCAATCGATGATGCAGATAGAGGCAACACGAAAGTCAATGAATGTACACAAGAAAGAATACAACAACAGGCCACCAATGATATGGTGCGTCCTATTTCTCTCTCTCTCCAATTCCTATCCCTCCGTAAAGATGCCATACATGCCCCCCACAGCACCATGCTCCTAAGGCGGCTGGTGCCGGCATCTCACAGGAATATGAGGTCAGTGAGGCGCGACAGGCTGTTGGGGATTGTGCCAATCAACCGGTTGTCTGCAAGGTCCCTGCGAGTTCATGGCAGGCACGCAGGCACTGGCAACACAGCATGACATGGAGCCACATGGAAGGGAACGAAATCGGACAAGCCAAGCAGGTCTAGCTGGCAAAGCTATCAAATATGTACCTTGAGACGTTCCAAACGCGGCATCCCAAATTGCAGCGTATAACGTATTTTCGCAATTGCGTAGTTCCCATGGTTACAGCCCATAATCGAATTACAGAGGCCCAAAACGAATGCAAGTAACTCATGTGGCATGCCCTTACAATGAGTGATGCCATTTGACCAACCGAACTCCCTTATGCTCTTAACTGCTCTCCGCCAACAGCACCTCCCGATTTGCCTCTAGCTCCAACGGGGTTTCTGGATTCTGCTGATATGCTCTTGCCTATTTCGGGCTTACTTGTTTGCACAGACAAAGCAAGCAGTGGGCTGAGCGATCTCACAAGGAGGTGATGTACTTCATGTTGCCGATGCCCTCCGGGATGCTTCCCACTAGCTGGTTCTCCGGCAAGCCCCTGCAGTTTCGTTACCAAAGCCAATCCACCACCACTATATCTATGGATGGCTCCTTTAACAAGAAGAGCAGAGCAAATTTAGACAAGTTCATAACATACTTATTCTTAAAGAGCATCAGTATAGTGTGATGATCTGAAGATCACAGCTCACTGAGAGAGAGTTTTGAGATGTCTCATAAGTCCGTATACAGTGCGATAATCTAAATCTCACAGCTCGCTGAGCTTGGTAAGGCTGCCAATGGACTCGGGAATTGTGCCTGAGAGGCTGTTATACCACACAGAGCTGTGTGTTGCATAGGGTAGGGAACAGGGTGCAGTGGAGATAAGATGGGATGATGGGCATGCGCACATGTGATGGGCATGTGCACATGTGATGGGCATGTGCACATGTGATGGGCATGCGCACATGTGATGGGCATGCGCACATGTGATGGGCATGCGCACATGTGATGGGCATGCGCACATGTTTCAGGCATGCGCACATGTGATGGGCATGCGCACGTGTGATGGGCATGTGCACATGTGATGGGCAAGAGGCGGCAGGCTCAGGGTGTCAATGGAAGGTTGACAAGACGTTGAGGGTTACAAGACGTTGAGGGTTAGAAGACGTTGAGGGTTACAAGACGTTTGAGGGTTACAAGACGTTGAGGGTTACAAGACGTTGAGGGTTACAAGACGTTGAGGGTTACAAGACGTTGAGGGTTACAAGACGTTGAGGGTTAGAAGACGTTGAGGGTTACAAGACGTTTGAGGGTTACAAGACGTTGAGGGTTACAAGACGTTGAGGGTTACAAGACGTTGAGGGTTACAAGACGTTGAGGGTTACAAGACGTTGAGGGTTACAAGACGTTGAGGGTTACAAGACGTTTGAGGGTTACAAGACGTTGAGGGTTACAAGACGTTTGAGGGTTACAAGACGTTGAGGGTTACAAGACATTCAGGGTTACAAGAAGACGTTGATGGTTACAAGATTTTAAGGTTGACCGTTGATGGTGTTGCCAATGGACTCTGGTATGCTCCCAGTGATGCTGTTCTGAGCAATGTTTCTGCAACACAACACAGCACACAAGCTCAGCGAGCTGTGAGAACCACAAAGAGGGTTCGTGATGTGTGCGCGTGTGACGGGTGTGTGCACGTGTATCTTTCTGCACCGCACGTGTATCTGTCTGCACCGCACGTGTATCTGTCTGCACCGCACGTGTATCTGTCTGCACCGCATGTGTATCTGTCTGCACTGCACGTATATCAAAGAGCTACCCTCACAAGCGCAGCCTCCAGCACGACACGCTCTCTTCCTCGGCCCGCCGAATCAGAGTGAACGCACAGGTGGGTGAGCTTGGTGCGACCAGATATCCAGAAGGGAAATGGGCCCTCTAAATCCATCATGAAGAGATTGCTGCACACACCATACACACGCAAATGCATACTCACACAAGCGCACACACATGCATGACATATACGGTCGCGAGTGCGAGCACGCGCACACGCATGCACCCACGCACGCACACACGCACGCACGCACACACACACAAACACACACACACACACACACACACACACACACACACACACACACACACACACACACACACACACGCGCACGCACACATGCACTCATACGTAAATGTACAAACATGTGTGCGCACACTAGAATGCACGCGAAAACAAACAAATATATTCAAGAAACATATTGATAAACAGATATCGTTAAAGGTATGGTATCCCCTGGTGTGAAAAGCAGTGGCATGGTGAATGGGGTGTGCGGGGGAGCAGTGGGCCAGTGAATGGGGTGTGCGGGGGAGCAGTGGGCCAGTGAATGGGGTGTGCGGGGGAGCAGTGGGCCAGTGAATGGGGTGTGCGGGGGAGCAGTGGGCCAGTGAATGGGGTGTGCGGGGGAGCAGTGGGCCAGTGAATGGGGTGTGCGGGGGAGCAGTGGGCCAGTGAATGGGGTGTGCGGGGGAGCAGTGGGCCAGTGAATGGGGTGTGCGGGGGAGCAGTGGGCCAGTGAATGGGGTGTGCGGGGGAGCAGTGGGCCAGTGAATGGGGTGTGCGGGGGAGCAGTGGGCCAGTGAATGGGGTGTGCGGGGGAGCAGTGGGCCAGGCACATGTATCTGAGGTTTGTGAGGCGCTCCATCTCCTGGGGAATGGACCCTGTGATGTGGAAGTTGAGGCCCAGGCTCCTGCCATGGCATGGTATGACATCATCACAAGGCATGGCATGTGATGACACCACTACAAAGCATGGCATGGGATGACACCACTACAAAGCATGGCATGGGATGACACCACTACAAAGCATGGCACGGGATGACGCCATCGCATGTGATGATGCCATGGCATGGTGGTACGCAAGTGGATTAGATTCACAGAGGCACTGCATTTTCAGGGATTAAGTGGCATGGTGTGGCTCAACAAGACGATATGGTTGAGCATAGAAAGGCCTAAGAAAATGGATAGCATGACACAGCGAGGGGTAAAGGATGGATAGGGCTTCCGAAATGGAACACAGGAAAGCGGGCAAACGACGAGAGAAAGGAAAATGAAAGGGTAGGAAACCGCAAACAGGGAGGAGCAATGCTTTGTACAATTCTTCCAAGCCAGTGAGCCGCGCAATTGCTCGTGGAATTTCCCCATCCAGATTGTTGGAATATAAGCGCCTGGTATGGTACAGTATGTATAGTTGGCATGCATACGTGATATAGCCTTGCCAGACAGTAAGATGCGTGCTTCCTGCCAACACGAAATACGTAACGAAATCACAAAAAAAACGAGCCAAAGAAAAAAAAAACTGTTTAGGACCCAGGCTTGCCTTATGCACTCTGTTCCCCAAAATCACACAGAAAAACGTCTATGAAAGTAAGTGCGAATGAGCTAAACAGAAGGGTAGAGAAGAATACGATACCCATGATCCCTTGACATTGCACATCATGGCATAGTGGCACAGCACAGCGAATGCGGAATGGAAGAAAACCTGACATAGCATGGGGGGGGATAAGGGCTGCTGACAGAATCCTGAGTGCAGCAATGCCAGCAATGGCTGCTGGGATGGAGCCTGACAGCCAATTGTTAGTCAGATCCCTGACAAGCGCGCATATCAGGAAGGGGAGGGAGGGAGGAAGGGAGGGAGGGAGAGAGGGAGGGAGGGAGGGAGGGAGGGAGAGAGGGAGGGAGGGAGGAGGAGGGAGGGAGGTAGGGAGGGAGGGAGGGAGGGAGGGAGGGAGGGAGGGAGAAAGGGAGGGGGGGAGCGAGGGAGGGAGGGAGGGAGGGAGGGAGGGAGGGTGGGCAAAATGGGGAAACGTCATGCAAGGCAGTTGAGGTGGGGCACATTTGCTCGGCTGCAGTGCAGCGCGAGCTGCAGTGAGCTGCGGTGAGCTCCTTGTGGCTGGGTGGACCATGCAGCAAACGCTGAAGCAATTTAAACAATGGGCGTGCGTGGACCAAGGCGTTGGCATGAGCAATGGGATAGCCAAGGGATGATGGCACAGCATCAGCATGGCATTACATGGCATTACATGGCATTACATGGCATGCTATTCCCAGCATACAGTTGTGTCAGGGTTGTGAGGTTCCACAGGGAATGAGGAATGGGGCCTGTTAAGTTCCGCCCAGTCACATTCCTGGTGCATGGCATGGCATGAAGGGGGGGAATGAGGGCGCGGCACGAGGGGGAGGGGACTTTTGAGTCGACTCAAAAGGGGGCATGGTGCGACGCGATGGAAAAGAGGGTACGTGACATGAATGGACGAACAGAGAGCCAATCGTTGGTATGGCAGCGAGGGGCATTGAATGGGTTTGTGCCATGGGGCGAGCAAGCACGCATGGGGACAGCAAGCACGCATGGGGACAGCAAGCACGCATGGGGACAGCAAGCACGCATGGGGACAGTCAACACTTTTCAAGATGCTTGTTCCAGGGCCAATCGAAGATAAATCAAATCTCCCAACAATCTAAAGGGAAGAAGGGGAAGTGGTAGGCAGGTGGGGGAGGGAGGGGAGCGGAAGGGCCAAGTGGGGGCCGGGGTGATTGGGAATGCAGGACGGACGCACATGGAAACAATGAAGCCAGCTGCATTGCAGCGCACGCCATGCACCCCGTCTCCCCCGCTGCCCCCGCCCTCCTAAGTGAACCCAGTATAGGCGGCATGCAGCACGCACAGGGAGACGATGAAGCCAGCCGCATTGCAGCGCACGCCCTCCACCTGCGCGCAGTCCCCCCCCTTGCTCCATCCGCGCAGCTGCGACCGCCACTGCCCCTGACACTCCGCCAGCACCGCCGCTGCGGGGACAGCCGTGGAAGGGGAGAGGAGGGCGTGTGCGTGGGGATGGGGAAGGATACGGATGGGAAAAGGGGAAGCATGCGGAGAGGGGAAGGGCATGCGGATGGGGACTGGGGAAACATGGCGGAGGGGGAACCAGCGCCCGAGGAAGGTCGGAGAAAAAAGCAGGCGGGGGGCAGGTGCGTGTTGGACGGGGGAGAAGGCGGAAAGCGCAAACCCAAACGAACGATGCAGCTGGGAATGAGAGGGAAACAGGCTGCGGAGGCCTGCCGCGAAACATGCCAGGCATTGCGGCTGGCGGGAGGACTAAAGGCAAGAAGCCCGCGTCGGGGAGAGTGACCGGACACTGACAATGATTGGCTAGTCTTCATCTGTCAAACTCTAGGAACAGGCGTGGAGCGCTGGACAGTGGCGCGCCGGACTGTGGTGCCACGCGCAGGATAGCGCCGGGCCGACTCGGACGCTCCGAGCCATAGCCTCAGGATGCAGCGGAAATGAAAGGTGAGCATCGACTAGTGTACTACGCCCTTGGCACGCACAGCTGTGCGCAGCGCAGGTCATTCTAGCGCGACGGACCTTGCGAGGGGTGGAGACCCGTAGCAGCCGCGGCCGTCGGAGAGAACACGCGGAGCGCGAGCCCGGCGAGGAGGACGGCGAGGCGATGCCGCTGTGGCGACCCCGCCATGACTTGGCTGCAACGGGAAGCTCGATTCATCCCGGCATTTTCACTCGGAGTTACCACAATGTACCCTAGCGAGCACCTCGGAAAATCCGTTCGCGAATTCGGGAGAAATGTCGCAAAACATCTGGCACATTCGACAAATTACTCGCAGGTCTTCCAATCAAGGAGCAGGGAGGTACAGGGTTACCCTAATCTGGCATCACAAGCTCGGGAGGAGCCAACGCCCGTGACGAAAGTCACTGACACCCTCGCGAATCAGACATGGCCTCGGCATGTGGCTGGCAGGTCGTTTCTAATCAGGCATTTCTTCATATAACCAACCACCTAGATCAAGCATTGCTCTCGTGCGGCATTGCTCGCGTCGCGCGTCGTTCCTTCCTCGATCAGTGGCTCGCTCGCCTCACTCGCGTCGCGCATCGTTCCTTCCCCCGTGTCCGTCCACTCTCTCTCCCCTCGCCTTCTACCTGTTCGCACGTCATTCGCGACGCCGTAGCGAGATGGTGGCATGTTACAGCGTGATAACATGACGCGTTGCAAGCGTCTAGATCGAGTCCTGAGGAGATGGGGTAAGTACTTGTGAGGCGATCCGACTGTCTAGTTTGTAGAAGGAGGCGGATGGCCAATTTGGACTCGTATGTAGCGTCGCAGACTGGATCGCGCCTCGTCATTCCGCCGCACGGCCGACGCTACGAGATCTCAACCGCTGACGTGTGCGCGACGACGGTACGACCGCAGCGCGACGACTGTGCGACGGTAGTGTGACGAAGGTACGAGTGCGACGACGGCGGTGCGACGGCAGCGCAACGACGGTGCGACGGCAGCGCAACGACGGTGCGACGATAGTGCGACGACGGTGCGACGGTAGTACGACGACGGGGCGACAGTAGTACGACGACGGTAGTGCCACGTGGGCTGCACTGACGGGAGTCACCGAAATCCCAAGCCGTCCTACCCAGTGCATTCTCCCCTACCCTCGCTCCATGCTCCACCGCACTCTACCGCACTCTAATTGCTCTCCTCCTCTCCATCATCCCCGCTGCTCTCCAGACAGTTACGAGCGCCCGCTCTCCCGCCGCACCTGCCGCGCTCGCAGCCACAGCCCAAGAGGATACAGTCACTCTGGTTACAGTCACAATCACAATCAGCATCGCTGTGACCAACGTCTGCTGCTCGGAGTGCTCCTTCTCGCGTTCCTCTCCTTGCGGCATGCCGTGGCTCGAGGTGTGTGTGCCTGTAGCACGATTGGTGTGTGTGACTGTAACGCAGTTACTGTAGCGCGATGTGGATCTTGATTTTATGTGTGGATCACTGTGTCATGCATCACCATGATCACTCACTCTGCCGCCCATCTCTGCACCTGTTGTCCACATCCCCTCTATGCGTCCCATCCCATCCCATCCGTGCTCCTCCTCGTGCCTGCCATCGTATCGCCCGCCTGTGCCACATGCAGAGGAGGGTCAGCAGGGACAGGACGCTCAGGAGGAGGGCAAGGGGCGGCACGAGGCCCTGTTGGGTCGCGTGCAGCAGTTCGAACGATCGCTCGCCGATCAGCTGTGCTCTCTCTCTCTCTCTCTCTCACTTTCGCCACGCATCCCTCTCGCTTCTGTCTTTATCTCTCTCGTACCCCTCCTCTTCCCTTTCTATTCCCTGCGAACCTCTTCATTCCTCCTCCAACCCTACCCCTGCTCCTTTCCATTCTTCTGGGAGCATTACACATGTGCATATATCTGCCTCCCATCTCTGTTCCCTGGCCGGTTTGCCAGTTTCTTTGTTATTGTCTCGCACCAAAAACTACTGCTATCCTCTCTGATTCGTTCTGCCCCTTGCCCCTTCATTGTCGCATCCTTCCATCCCGCCGCCCTGCACTGTGGGTATGGGTGAGGAGGAAGCAGAGTCAGGCTCATACATGCCCCAAATCCTCTACCCGCCCTTCTTTTCTGCTCCCCTCGCCTGCCCTTCCCTCCCCTGCCCTCCCTTCCCTCCCCTGCCCTCCCTTCCCTCCCTTCCCCTCCCCTTCCCATTCCTTCCCTGTCCCCCTCTCTCCTACCCTGCGCTGCCCTCTCATTCCCTCCCATCCCGTCCCCTCCCCTGCCTTGCCTCCCTTGCCATCCCTCGCCCCCAGCCACATGGAGCGGCGGGACTTACTAAGACAATCAGCAGCGCCGTTCAACCGCACCCTCCACACGGCCGCCCTGCCCTCCATAATGCTCGACTACTACGAGCTCCAACCCCACCTCGGCCCGCGCCTGCGGTGCCGCGGCCCGCCCTGCCCCAAGTTCGGCCACTGCGGATCCGCCTTTCCCCACGTACAAGCCTGCTGGAACGAGCACCTGACAGATCCGCGCCCGCTGTTCCCTGCGGACCCGCTCAATTGCCCGCGGCTTCAACCCGTGGAGGACGTGGGGCGGCTGCGGCGGCCGTGGTACTTCATTGACTCGCAGTGCTCGCACCGCGTGGACGTGAATGCGCGGGATGCTACAGCCATGCAGGTGTGTTGTGTTCAAGATGAGGGTGCGTTTTGTACTCCGCGTTTGGGGGATTTTTTAGTCGACTCCAAAACCGCTGTTGTTCTTCTGCTAAACCCGAAACTACACGACTGCTGCTGCTCTCTGAGAATAATGACTGAGCGATGCCATGCCATGCGGCCATGCAGGTGTTCAAGATGAAGGATGTGTACTCAGCGTTCGGCGGATACGTGTTCAACTTGACGCATCGCTTCAACCGCAACGGCTGCAAGCGCTTCCTCAAGGTGCCGCGCTGTGCTGTGTTGTGTTGTGTGCATGCTTGCCTTCTTTCTTCCTTGATTGTTCCGTGCCGGCTGTACCATCATTCGTGCACCTCTAGTGCTCCATGTGCTTCCCAGGCAATGCTCAGTGAGGAAGCCACCAGCCAGGCAACTCGACCTCCGTTGAACCCCTCTCACTCCATCCTTCCCTCAAATTCCCCCGCCCCATACCTCGACGTTGCTTCTCCCATTGTTTGCGCTTTGCAATGCTACCTTCGCCGCACACCTCACCAAGCGTGCGGCATCCGAACAAGGTCACAAACAGACCTGCCCGGCAGCCTTCCCTCGTCTCCTCTTCACACCTCTATCTTCTTGTTATAGACAAAAAAAAAACTCTTATCCCGAAAATCCGCTGTCCCATCGTGACTCTCCCTCCCAGACCACCTTTGAGGCGCCTCAAAAGTCATCTGGACTCTCCCTCCCAGACCACCTTTGAGGCGCCTCAAAAGTCATCTTGACTCTCCCTCCCAGACCACCTTTGAGGCGCCTCAAAAGTCATCTTGACTCTCCCTCCCAGACCACCTTTGAGGCGCCTCAAAAGTCATCTTGACTCTCCCTCCCAGACCACCTTTGAGGCGCCTCAAAAGTCATCTTGACTCTCCCTCCCAGACCACCTTCACCACCCCACCCTGCACGCTACTCAAAGGACATGCTCCACTCCACTGCCTTCACTGTATCTCCCCCTGCGTTCCTTCCAGGCGTGTGCCCATGAGGGGGAGGGGAGCGGTTCACCGGGTCTACCAGCAGGCCGGCAGCCACCCTTAACATCTCCGCTTCGCCGTGTTGCATTCCTACATTGCTGCGTCCCTTTATCGCCATGTCCCTGTGTTTATCCCAGGCAACATGGCAGTGTACCACTTGTGGGAAGTGTTGAACTGGGACTATCGCCAGGCAGGCAACTTCGACCCCTTCATCGTCGAATTGAAGCCATACCGATGCTCTACATCCCTGTGTGCTTTGCTCCCCACAGGCGACACTCACCCCCAACATGACGGTGTACCATCTAAAGGAGGTGTTCAACTGGGACTACCGCCAGGCAGGGAACTTCTACCACTTCATCATCGAAGCCGTCCCGCTGCTCTATGCCGCTGCTCGCCTGCTGCCCTCGCTGCTGCCCGACGTCCCCATTGCCGCCAAGGGCGACCAAGTAAGCGCGCCTTTTATTGCCGACCAGGTAACACCCGCCGTCTTCCTGCCTCCCGTTTCTCTTTTTAGCTGTTCTGCTTTGCCGCCCGCCTCCTACTTTCGCTGCCCGACATCCCCATCGCCGCCTCTTTCATCCTCCTTGGCCCCTCCTTCCATTTCCCCCTGCCCCGCCCACGTCCCAGTGGGAGGTGTACGACCAGATAGGGCTGCCCATAGTGGGCATGCCGTGAATGGGCGCTGTCTTATGCCATTGCACTGCCCTCTCTCCCCTCCCTCTCACCCCCCTTCGACCCTCCCCCTCACCCCCCTTCTACCCTCCCCTCCCCCTGACCCCACGTCCCACCCAGTGGGAGGTGTACGACCAGATCGGGCTGCCCATAGTGGGCGTGCCTCGTGAGGACATGTGGACCATCCGAGTGCGCGCATGGGAGATCGTATATGCTGACACCATGTACCAGGTGATGCCATGTACCAGGTGATGCCATGTACCAGGTGATGCCATGTATCAGGTGATCTCATGTGCCAGATTACACCCTTCTACTTGCCATCTCACCCATCCTACCTGTCCTTACCCCCTCTCTAATACATTCTCCCTCTTTTTCCCCACCCACCCCCCCTTCTTCCCATCAACCAGCCCATGGCGCAGACGTGTGGCGGTCCCAACAAGGCCCTTTGGACGCACCTGCGCCGCCACCACCTGCTGCCGCCTGGCGGGCTGCCGCTCTTCCACCGCAACTGGACGCTGCGCTCCGTGCCGCCGCTCGCCGACCAGGACATGGCGGCGCTGCCGCCCAACTGGGTGGTGGTGCTGGGCAAGCGGCCAATGGCAAAGCGCGCGCTGGTGAACTGGGACGGGCTGCGCGACGCGGTGTATGCGAGCTTTGAGAGCTACGGGAGTGAACGCATTGTGGTGTTCCAAGGAGACCTGCGCATCATGGAAGGTAATGTGATGGCCGTGTGGGGGTGATGGGGATGGGCATGTGTATGTGGGCAGGGTAATAGGGATGTTTATGTGGGCATGTGAGCATGGGGGTGTGATTGCATGTGAGCATGCCGCCATGCGGTTACGCGGGCATGTGGGTGTGTAGGCATGTGGGCATTTGGGTGTGTGGGCATGTGGGTATGTGGGCATGTGAGGCATGTGGGCACTTGAGGCACGAGGCATGTGGGCAGCCTTCGCCTTTCGAGGCGCCTCAGAAGTCCCCCAAATCCGCCCTATTCTCCCCCCTTCTCTTCCCCACCAGCCCGGGCTCTCTTTCGCCGGGCGTGCCTGTTTGTGTCGGGCCACAGAGACGCCTTCGCCAATGTCATCTTCATGCCCGCCAGCCCCCTTCTGCCCCAACCCATTTCACTCAACACCCCATGCACCCCTGATGCGTGCTCTTCTCAATGCGCTCCTCTCTCCATGCTACCCCAATTGTGCCCCACACTACTCTTTCCCATACCAGCGCGGGCTCTCTTCCGCCGGGCGCGCCTGTTTGTGTCGGGCCACGGGGCCGCCTTCGCCAATGTCATCTTCATGCCCGCCAACGCCTCCATCTATGAGATCCGCCCGCGCAAGTGTTACAATGCCTGTTACAACAACCTTGCACATGCTTGCTCTGTGCGTTACCACCTCTCCTTCGGTGATGGCACGTGCTATTCGTCTTTAAAGGCGAACTTGACTCATGTGAGGGAGACCCTTTCCACGATAGCGCAGAGATTTAGAGACGAGGATTCTACTATTGCTGAACAATAAGGCGATTCCATTAGTGTTCTCTTCTGGCTTATGTAAGTAGTATTATTTCATTATTCAGATACCCTCATACCCCGGATATGCCCCCATGGGGGGCACTAATAAAACGTGTTTTTTTTAGGGGGTGGGCTTATAATATAGTAATTTTATAAGCGCCGGGGCTTATACAATGACATATATGAAATCTAGTTGTTTTCAATTCAAAATGTTCATCTTGTCATTGCGATTTCAATCAAGTCAAGATCATAGTGGGTGTGAAGAATGATCTCGCGTAAGTTGGCAAACTGCCAACACACACAGTCAGAATGAGTCATTTCGCCCCATGACAGCTCATTCTGACTGGACGTGCAGTCAGTTGAGTCGCGCGAGGGTAAAGGGTCGAAATTTTATCGAGGATGCAAATAGTGTGTTTCGCTACAGAGATTCCAGTAACTTCATAAAAACTAATACAAATGGTGGCTCTTATAATACGCAAGCCTTCAGGGGGTGCGCATATAATCGAGCACCGGATATAAGCGCCACACGCCAATTAAAAGCGCCAGGCGCTTATCCGCGGGTGGCGCTTATATCCGGGGTATGACGGTAGGTTCGAATGTGGTCAGCTGAGGCAAGGCAACGTGCTGTGTTTGCTCGAAAGAATAACCTGAAGAGCAGGCCCTGAAATCCGTTCGTGAGACGAAAAAATTGTCATTCCCAAGCATGGCTGATATCATGAATCACCACAGGGGAATTTGAGTGAGTTTTGTAGGCTATGTCAAGAATGAAAGTGTTGGTTTGACTAAGGTTGGTTGGGGTGGTACATAACAGTTGTACACCCTATAACACACATCACTAAGACTACAACATTCGACACAACCCCATAGTCTAAGTGAGGGGTGTCAAAAACCAAAAGCGTACGGTCACAAGACCAGTCATAAAGAAACAAAGCTCACGGTGGATCACAACGTCACCACACACTCCGAGTACAAGCAAAAGAGCCACAAGGCTAGTTCAAGACTTCACATGGGTATATGTAAAGTGTACAAACAAAGCAAGGAGAGAGCTCAAGACCATGCAAGGCGAGAACCTGTGTCAACAAGACCTAACTGCACAGAACACATCTTATGGTCACAAGGCGGCAGGGTCTTGATGAAGATGTATGCAGTGTTGGCCTCGGACTCGACAAAGTCAAAGCGAGCCTGTCCACGCCTCTGCAACTCTCGCAGAAGCAGGTACCTGGCGTTAATGTGCTTCACTCTGCTCTACAGTCGCGGCTCTCAACAGAGGAGAATCAACGCCTTGTTGTCAGTGAACAAGGTTGGTGCAGAGCTCGGCCGCTCACCAAGGTCGGTGAGCAATGAGAAGAAACGAGAATGAATGACTATGGAATGGAAGTGATACAAATATGCAACCCTAGAAATGTGTACCCCATATGAGCTACCCCACTATAGCCTATACAAGATTATAATTTGACACACCCCCATAGGCAAAGTGGGGGAGAACAAGGGGTCACAAGACCAGTCAAGCAAAGCAAAGCAAAGCTCAGGGTGGATCACAAAGTCACCACACATTCCGAGCACAAGTTCAAGGCCAGAAGGCCAGTTCACATGCAGGAGCACATATATATAAAAGAGGCTAAAGAAGCACGAGCAAGAGTATATATATATGAGAGTACAAGCAAGGTCAAGAAGTGAGCAAGTGAGGCAAGACAGGCACAAGACCAAGCTGAGTACAGAAGCGCTGATGATCACAAGGCGCAAGTGCCTTGGTGAAAACATCAGCAGTGTTGGCCTCAGAGGCCACGTACGCAAGCCGCAACTGACTACGGTGCTGTAGCTCACGGGCAAGGAAGTAGCGAAGAGCAATGTGCTTTGTTCTGTGCTCCAGTTGCTGCTCTCGACACAAGGCCAGCATGGCCTTGTTGTCTACGTACACGAATGGAGGAGAACGAGGCGGCTCTCCAAGGTCGGTCAGAAGGTAGGTGAGCCAACGAAGCTCCTGGGCAGCCATGGCCCCGGCATAGATCTCAGCCTCACAACTGGAGCCAAGAACAGAAGACGAGCGAGTAGCCCGCCACGAAACAGAGCCGGAACCAAGGCTGAAGGTGTAACCCTGTGACGACCGCTGCGTAGCCTGGTCGTCAGCCCAAGAAGCGTCCGCGTGCCCAGTCAGGACCACTGGACTCCGCCCTCCAAGCACTAGCCCCATGCCCGACGTACTGCACAAGTAGCGCAACACCCTCTTCGCTGCAGCCATGTGCTCTGGTCGGTGTCTCCCAGGAGCAACATAGCGTGCAAGAATGCTAAGAGGGTATGCAAGGTCAGGTCGTGTGCAGGTCATCAGGTACATGAGGCAACCAACAAGCTCTGGATACGGGCCACTCGACTCTACGGACTCATCCGAAGGCAGAGCTGAGAGTGAGTGGCGAGTAGGCAGAGGAGTGGCCTGAGGCAAGGAGTACGTGAAGCCGAAGCGCTGAAGGACCTGCTGCACCATGTGTGACTGAGTCAGGGTAATGGTGCGGCGTGCTCTGTCACGGGTGATCTGCAAGCTAAGGTAGCTGCGCAGTTCACCCAGGTCAGTGCACGTGTGTCTCTTCTGCAGCTCGGACTTCACGTAGGCGAGTCCAGCAGTGTCAGCTGTGGCAAAGACCAAGTCGTCGACGTACACGAGGATGTAGAACGGCGGCAGAGAGGTGTCGTTGCGCAGAAACAGCGACGGGTCGGCAGTAGAAGGAGCAAACCAAAGAGCCGCAAGTGTAGTCCTCAGTGTGTCGTGCCACTCACGTGGCGCCTGGCGGAGACCGTAGACTAGACGCCGGAGACTCCACTGGGTACCAGGAGGGAAAGACCCAGTGAAGCCAGGTGGGCGGCGCAGCCAGATCTCCTCGTGCAGGCTGCCCTGCAAGAAAGCAGTGCTGAAGTCGAGAGAGTGTAGCTCGTAGTCACGGTGAGCAGCAACGTGCAGCAGTACGCAAAGAGTGGTCATCTTCAGGGTGGGGGAGAAGGTCTGAAAGTAGTCAACTCCCTGCCGCTGACTGAAGCCACGAGCCACGTAACGCGCCTTGAAGACAGGCGGAGAACCCGGCGGCCGCTTCACCCTGAAGATCCACATGCCACTGACGATGTTCGCCCCAGGAGGGGGGACAACGTCAACGTAGGTGCCTGTGGACTTCCAGGAAGCCATCTCTGCATCCATAGCTGCCTGCCACTGAGAGGAGTAGGGACCCTCTATCGCCTCCGCGTAAGAGCGCGGAGTCGGGATGTCAAGTGCATCCGGGTCTCCCTCAGGGGTAAGCAGTACGGACACGAGATGAGGTGAAGCAGCTGCCAGACACTGGAACTCCTCCTGCCTTTCCTCAAGGACGTCCGTGCCAAGGGCACACTCACCCCCGACGGACGGAGGACAGACAGACGCAGACTCAGCGACAAGACTAGTAGCGTAGTCAATGCGACAACGAACAGCAAAGTCGACGAGCTCAGTAACGAGGGCAGACGCAGCAGTAGACTCGAAAGAAGGGTCAGTGAGGACAGTAGCAAGGAGAGGGGTGACAGTAGGACTGGCAGCACGAAGAGAGTCCGACTCCGGGTCGGCAAGAGCAAGAAGAGAGGACACAGGAGGAGAAGGCAAAGGGGCACGCAGAGGAGCAGTAGACAGACGCAGAGACATCCGGTGCGTGCCAGGGACAGGAGGAGGATGCTGACGCGAACCGCAACCACTAGCGCGAGCAGTACGAACAGGCGACGCAGGACGAGACGCACGCTCACGACGCTCAGTAAGACCTCCAGTAGGACCAGCGTAGGGAGAAGGAGCAGGCAAAGGGGAGGCAGGCTGGAGCTGTGACTGTGACGGGACAGGCTGTGGACCCTCTAAGGGAGGAGGAGGACCAGTAGAAGGTGGAAGACCAAGAACCTGCTGCAGGAGTGGAACGAAGTACGGGCGAGGCCGCGTGGCGATGCCAGAAACAGCAGGGACAGCACCAGTACGCCCAGCAGGAGCACCCGCTCCAGCAGCACCTCCAGCAGCTCCAGAACCTCCAGCAGCACCAGGAGCACCCCCAGCAGGACCGCCAGTGGTAGTCTCAGCGCCAACACCCTCAGCAGCACTAGCTCCAGTCGAAACTGCAGGCCCAGCAGCTCCTGTACTTCCAGTACGAGCACCTCCGGGACCGGCGACAGTAGCACCCTCAGTAGCCGAAGAACCTCCAGCACCAGCAGCACGGCTCCAGCGCCGGGCAAACCACTTGCGCAGCTCCTGTGGAGAGAGTGGCTCCCGGCAAGACGAAGCACCCGGAGAACCTCCAGGCGGAGCACCTCCAGGCTCAGCACCCCCAGGCCCAGCACCCCCAGGCAAAGCACCTCAAGGCGTAGCACTCCCGGGCCCAGCACCCCCAGGCTCAACACCCCCAGGCTCAGCACCCCTAGGCTCCGCACCCCCAGGCCCAGCACCCCCACGCCCAGCACCCCCAGGCAAAGCACCTCCACGCGTAGCACTCCAAGGCCCAGCACCCCCAGGCTCAGCACCCCCAGGCTCAGTACCCCCAGGCTCAGCGCCCCCAATCTCAGCACCCCTAGGCTAAGCACCATCAACAGCACCAGAGTCACCAGTGACCTTGACAGGCTCGACTGCGTCTACCTAGGACACACCTGAAGGGGCAGGACCCTGAGGAGGAAGGGGGTCTACCGGGGGGGGACCTGGTACAAGGAAGAGTGGGGGCGGGGGGAGGGACGGAGTGCGGTAGGGGAAGAGGCGGTAGTAGGGGACCGACTCGTCGAACGTGACGTCCTGGGAGGACAGAACACGGCGAGAGGTGGGGTGGTAGAACTGCCACCCAGGCGCGTCGGGGGGGAACCCCAGGAAGACGCAAGGAGCAGCGCGAGGGGACAGTTTGTCCGCAGACAAGTCGCGGACAAACGCCCGAGATCCCCAGACCCGGAACGCCGACGCATCGCCAACCTTCCCCGTCCACAGCAGGGCTGGGGAGGTCTCCGGCCTGGAGACCCTGGGGTGAAGGTTGATCTGAT